AGTGTTCAAGTGACAGGAAGAACCACTCATCTCTCACTTTAAATCAAAAGCTAGAAATGATTAAGCTCAGTGAGGAAGGTGTGTTGAAAGCCGAGATAGGCTGAAAGCTTGGCCTCCTGTGCCGAAACTAGCCAAGTGGTGAGTGCCGAGGAGAAGTTCTTGAAGGGAATAGAAAGTGCTTCTCCAGCGAACACACGAAGGGTGAGAAAGAGAAACAGCCTTATTGCTGACGTGGAGAAGGTTTGGGTGGTCTGGACGGAAGGTCAGACTGGCCCCAACATTCCCTGTGGCCAAAGCCTAATCCAGGGCAAGGCTCTAACTCCTTTCAAGTCCGTGAAGGCTGAGAGAGGAGGGGAAGCTGCGGAGAGACGTCTGAGGCCTGCAGGGGTTGGTCAGGAGGCTTAAGGAAAGACGCCGCCTCCATAACATCAGAGTGCAAGGTCAAGCAGCAAGTGCTGATGTAGAAGTTGCAGCAGGTTCTCCAGAAGGCTGAGCCGAGAGAATTCATGAAGGTGGCTCCACTAAGCAGCAAAACAGCATTCTGTTTGAAGAAGAAGCCATCTAGAACTTTCAGAGCTGGAGAAGAGAAGTTGGCGCCAGGCTTCAGAGCTTCAAAGAACAGACTGACTCTCTCCTTAGGGGCTAATGCGGCTGGTGACTTCAAGGTGAAGCCAGTGCCCATTGACCATTCCAGAAATCCTAGGGCCCTTCGGGACGATGCTAACTCTACTCTGTCTGGGCTCTATCGGTGGAACAATATAGCCCACGTGACCACACATCTGTTTACAACCTGGTTTACTGAGTATTTTACGCCCACTGTTGAGACCCACTGCTGACGGAAAAAAAGGATTCTTTTCAAAATATTACTGTTCGTTGAAAATACACCTATTCACCCGAGAGCTCTGATGGAGATGGACAATGAGACGCATGTCGTTTTCAGGCCCACTGACGCAACATCTACTTTGCAGCCCATACGTCAAGGAGCCATTTTAACTCTCTCTCTCTCTTTGCTTACTGTTCTTGTTTCTTAAATTCCACACACGAGTGAAATTATATGGTATTTGTCTTTCTCTGGCTCAGCATTATACTCTCTGGCTCCATCCATGTTGCTGCAAATGGGAAGATTTCCTTCTTTTTTATGGCTGAGTAATATTCCATTGTATCTATACCACATCTTCTTTACCCGTTCATCAGCCGGTGACCACGTGGGCTGCTTCCATAATTTGGCTATTGAAGATAATGCTGCTATAAGCATCAGGGTATTGGATCCCTTTGGATCAGTATTTTTGTATTGTTTGGGTAAATACTTAGCAGTGCAATTGCCAGGCGTTAAGATAGCTCTATTTGTAACTTTCTTTTTTTTCTTTTTTTTTTTTAATGTTTTATTTATTTCTAGGAGAGAGAGAGAGACAGCGTGAGCAGGGGAGGGTCAGAGAGAGAGGGAGTCACAGACTGAAACAGGCTCGAGGCTCTGAGCTGGCAGTCAGCACAGAGCCCGACGCGGGGCTCGAACCCACGAACCGCGAGATCATGACCTAAGCGAACGTCGGATGCTTAACCGACTAAGCCACGCAGACGCCCCATCTATTTGTAACTTTCTGAGGAACCTCCATACTGTTTTCCAGAGGGGTTGCCCCATATTGGAGGAGTTGTTTCTTGTAGATAAAGAACACGGCTTCTTTTTTAAAAATTTATATTTATTTATTTATTATTTATTTTTGAGAGAGAGAAAGCGAGCAGGGAAGGGGCAGCAAGAGGGAAACACAGAATCCCAAGCAGGCTCTATGCTGTCCGTGCAGAGCCTGACGTGGGGCTCGAACTCAAGAACCATAAGATCACAACCTGAGCCAAAACCAAGAGTCAGACGCTTAACCGACTGAGCCCCTCAGGTGCCCGGACACTTGACTTTTTAAAAGTGCTTTTCCTATTATACATAGTACCACATAGAACACTGTGGTAGACATTTATTTATGCAAATGTGGGAATTTTCAGGAAGACGCCTTCTTATAAGCGGTTTACTGGATTACATATTTTTTTCTTTTAGGTCTCAGAGTTTGCCCGAGGCTCCCCAGAGCTCCCCTCTAAAGCCACGTGGTTATGCTGTTACGCACCAGGGCTGGGTTGCTTCACACACATTTTTTGAACTTCCCGTTATATTATTTGCCCTCTTTTCTGCTGGGTTATTAATTTGTATGAGCTCTTTATATATCCCAGATATTTACTATTGTTGGCAAATAGTGAACCCTCTTTGTGGTTTGATTGCAGTTGCTCTGCCCGGCAATCCGTCACCTCTGCATTGTCCCATTAATCCATTCTGCGCAGGTGTCTTAGGGTCTTACATCTCTTTGGTTGACACCTACCCACACCTTTGTTCCCCTCCTTCCCTGGCAACTCACTCTACCCAGGCCTGGAACACTGAGCGGGGAGCGCCAGGGGTAAGCTGGGTTTCTAGAACCTTCTGCCTTACGCTCCCTCCTCTTTTCTCTTTCCATGACTCCCTCATTCCCTTCCTGGAAGACTGGCGTTGGGGTGGTTAAGAGGGAGTTGTACCTCCCACTCTGGCCAGCAAGCCTAACTGGGGTAGGGGTCTCCACAGCATGGCTTTGGGGCCTGGATGCCCAGGGCTGTATTGTCCATGAGGAAGTCCGCATCCTAGGCCAAGGGGACCACCACTCTGAAGAGAATATCCCCTAGAGGTGAATGTGACCTGTAACAACCTTCTCTTCTCAAGGCTGGTCAGCCAAGGGTCTAGGCACTAGAGGTGTGCATGTGAGAGACAGAGGAGAGACAGACAGACAGAGACAGGGAGAAAGAGAAAGGGTGTCAGAGGGGTTCACAGGGCTGGGCAGTGGAGGTGGCGGGGGCTTCTCCAAGGAGGACTGAAGATTGGCTGCTTGGATTTCTACCACTGAGCTCTGCTGGATTCTCTAGTTTCTCCAGGAGATGACATAGATTGAAACAAATACAGGTTTATTGACTAGAACACAACTGCCTTCCAACTCAGTAGTTAACCCATCCATTCATGCATCTATTTATCTGTCCGCCCATCCATCCATCCACCCATCCATCCATCTGTCCATCCGTCTGTCTGTCCGTCCGTCCATCTGTCTGTCCGTCCACCCACCCACCCACCCAGCCATCCATCTACTATCCACGCATCCATCGATCGATCCATCCATACAATCATTCTTACTTTTATCCAACATCAAGCAAATATTTGTTGGCTATCTCTCACATGTCAGCACAGTGCTGGGCACCAGGCATATAAACTGAATGAGACCCAGGTCCCGCCATCAAGATACTCATGGTCTGGTTGGGGAGACACACAGGTAAATGAAAAGGGGGCACAGAAGGGTTTTAGGACTCATTTGTATATTAGCTCCTCCATTCAACACCTACTTACTGAGCACCTGCGGTGTGCCAGACACTGTGGGGGGCACTTGTGAACCCCGTCCTCATGAGCTTATGGTCTAGTGATAAAGGGGAGGCTGGGGCTCATGTCTTCTGGAACATGCTTCATGGTAGCCTCAAGGGCGAGGGAAGGATGGGGGAGGCACACCAGCTCTCAACAGCCTCATCTAGGAAGTAACATACATTACTTCCTCCATAGCCCATTAGCCAGAATTGGTCATATTGCCCAACCCGATATATTTAGTGACCACAAACTCTTTCTGCCACAGCATCTATTAGTTTCTGCCACTGCAAGTTAAGTCAGACATTCCCTTCCTCATGGAATTTGACTATTGAGGCAAATAATTCAAGGGCAGAAAGTGGTAGGACCTTGGTCATTCTGAGGACAGTGTTCATTGGTTCTTATGCCAGAGCCCCCTGGGTTTCCAGTCCTTCCTGAGGATTCTATTTAATTCTTTTTAATGCCTCGAGACGCTCAGTTTCTTTTCCATAGACTTTATTTTATAAATTGATTATCGAGAATGGTTTTCTGTTGCTTGAAATCAAAAGGTTTAACGGCTATATGTCCCTGACTCTTTGTGCTGCACAATCCCAGCAGAAGGGGCAACCGTTCAGGAGCTGCGTGCTGGACTTCCTGAAGCACCTCTCTGTTTCAGTAGTTGGGCTTGTGCGGTGACTCGAGTATATATTGCATTTTGCCCATGCAGATTTTAAAAACAAGTGAACCTGAAACACCAAAGCACTGATACAATAGGATACAGAGGTGGAAATCATTCGGTCAATTCAAAGGGACACACGTTGGCCTTTGTGGATGCTCATCGATTTGGATCAAGGAGAAAGAAAACCAGAATCTCAGAATGCGTAGGGCACGTCGGAATTCCGTCACTGAGCACTGAGCCCCGAAGGCAAGCGTGGCTCGTGGCAGCATCATTTCTGATTCTCTGCAAGTGGAACCTGCTTTATAAGGTGCAAGCTCTTTGTCCGACGTGGAGGCAGGGTTTTGAGAAAGTGAACATGGGCGGTGCCTGCATGTCCCCAGAGGCTTGTCCTCCTCTGTCGGTCTGGTTTCCGGGGGACCCTTTTTAGTGGGTGGTTCATTCTAAAGCTGGAGCCAGGGGTCACTATGAACCCCTCGGGCAGTTCCTCGACCTGCCCCTCCTCGCACTGCTGGGCGGTCTATAGGAGGCTGCCCTGCGTCAAGTGACCGTTATGTCCACTCAGCTGTGGTTGGTGGGGTCAAGGCCAAGATAATGTCCCCCTCCATGTAATAATATCATACAAAAATGCAAAGCAAAATAAAGCCCTAAAACCCATTCAGGGGGCTGTGGGCACTTTGAGGCTTGGAGTGTTCAAAAGGCAGGGTGGTGCCTTCCCGTGAGGTCCTGTTCCCGGGGGGGGGTGGGGGCTGTTTCTCAGTTTTGTTTCTGTTGGTTTCTTTTTTTGTGTGTGTAGGGAGTGAGTTACATGTGGTTTGGCCATCCCAGGAGAGGCATATGGGGGCCTGGCTTTCTGGGGGGGTCCTTTTGTCTGGGTGGCTTAGATCAGTGGGGTCATAGGGACATCATGCAGGGCCCTGTTCTTTAGAGGATTTAGATGGAGACGCTGTTTTCGATGAGCGGAGGGTCCAGGTAAGTGTAGGGCAGGGCCAGCTCCATGTTGCGTTTCCGGATATCCTTAGAGATCTGGGCCAGGCGGCTCTGGAAGGTGGCGATGCTTCGTCGGGGGGCCTCCTCGGTGAAGTGCTCATCCGGGTAGGTGCCCAGGGGCCTCTGGAGGCAAACGCAAGGTCGGGTGAAGGGACTGCTCAGCGGCTGTGACCCGCCTTGGCCCTCCACCTTGGGGTCCTGAGCGCAGCCTCCCACAGAGCTTCATCCAAATGCCTCCCTCTAAACAGTGAGGATCCCCACAGGCAGCCATTGGGGACTGAGCCAAAGGGCCAATCGGAGTTTTAAAGGGGGTGCCGCACCCCCACCGTAGCACGATCGCCTTGCGGCTTAGGGTAACTCCGCATCAACGCATTTGATCATCTGACCCTCCTCGTGAGATGTCCCATGCTCATGGGCCCCCCCCCTCCCCACAGGAAGGCTCAGTGGGGGTGAAGGGACTCCGATCCTTGATGGCAAGGGGAGGGGAAACACCCCCTCGCATCCCCTGGCTCCCGGCCCCACACTCACTCGGTCTCCAGGCTCCTGGCTCAGCAACCAGAGGGTGAAGACAATGTCACAGGTGGCGTTGACCGGTGGGAGGGCAGCTATAAACCCCTCTGGCTCTGTCTGGCCTTTGGAGGTGGGTGGGGGCAGCTGCATGGTGGGAGGCAGGTTGGGCATCCAGACACAGGAGTCAAACTGCAGGCCGAGAAGGCAAAGTGAGTCCCAGGAGCCTGGCCCCCTCCATCCGGCCACCCCGGCACTGCCCCATCTCACCTGCCCTGCGCTAATAGCGTAGTGCTTGGCTGAGCAATTGAAGATCACCATGGTGACATATTGCACCAGGGATTTCCGTGTGTCCAGAGAGGAGGGCACCCCTGTGGGAAGAGGCGGGCTGGGCGTGAGGCTACCAGGGTCCTCAGGGCCACGCCGGAGGGGCTTGAGGGTGGGGCCCAAAGGCTGAGGTCCCCGTACCTGAGCTCTCTCGGCCCAGGAAGCCTTCAGAGAAGATCTCCCACACCCAGGCCTGGAGTTCACTGTCATCACGCACGGATGCATCACTCGGGTAGTAGATACTGATTATTTCGGAGACAAAGCTGCAAGATGCACTGGGTTCAGTCCCCACTTTTGACCTGAGCCCTCTCTGAGGAGCGGCTCCCATTCAACATCATTGATGTCCAGCCCTCCTCCCTGTGGGGAGCCTCCCTGGGCCCTCCCAGCTCTCTGGAGACAGCGCCCTCACCTCTCCATCGCACCCCAGACCTGCAGCCCATCATCCCGGTAGTAGTAGCCCGGGATGCCTTCCACTCCTCGGGCCCGGATGTCCGCGGGCAGACACAGGGAGGTATAGCTCAGCGTTTCCATGCGCCTCTGTATCAGGTCAGAGAAGCCTTCAATGCCAATGCCTGTGGACTGGGAGGTAAGACTTGTGGGTGCCAGAGCTCTCGTCCCAGAAGCATGCAGTAGGAGCAGTGGGAGAGATAGGGCTCCCCCTGTCTCGCACCTCTCCCCCTCCCCCCCCAGGAAGTTCTTACCCTTTCTACCACCTGGCCCGGGGCGATGAGCAGCTCGCGTGCAAGAGTGTTGATGTGAAGGGTGTACCGAGTATGTGGGATCAGCAGCTGGAAGGGTTTGGAGAAGACAGAAGTGGGGGAGGCCCGGTTCTCGCTGGCCCCAGACCTCCCCCTGGAAAGAGATGACGGGAACCAGAGGGGTCGCCTGGGACAGGGGTCAAGGCTCCAGAACGAGGACCAGCGTCTTATGCTGTGATCTGGGCCTGGCACCTTGCTGTCTCTGGGCTTCAGGTCATTGGGCAAATGAAGGGGCTGATCTGAATAAGCACTATGAGCTCCCCAGCTCTGGCGTTCTGTGATTTCCTCGGCCCTGGGCAGGTAGTGCGCCATGGAAACCCGGCTCCGGGAGCTACAGATGATCCAAATGAATCAGCAGGGACTGAAGACAGAGAAGGGCCTGTGTCTGGGACCCAGGAGACTGAGCAAGAATCAGAGAATCCAAAAAGCCATGGGGGAATATTCCTGGCCTTCAGAGAGGACAGGCCTTGGGTCCCTGGAGTACAGGAATCTGGACAACCTGAAGGCTTAGCAGAGCCCAGGGGACCTACGGAGCCCACTTCAGAGACAAGGTTCCCCTCCCAAGGCTCCCTCACCCCTGCCGCCATCTGCAGGAAACCTGTTGGTCTCTCAAAGCCGAGTTCACACTTTGGCGTCTGCCAGCCACAGGTCTCTCCTAAGAGCTGGGCTCCTGGATGGCCGCTGGCTGTGAGCTGCTCTCCTCTAAGGAGAGGGACGCTCTCGGGGGCACGGCTGGCTCTCACACGCGGTCTCCTCCCCCACCCCTGTCCCCATGCACCTCACCCAGGCTCGCGGCCGTGGGAAAGCAGGCGCTCAGGGGCTGGGCTCTGCACCCCCAGTCTGGAAGGACAGAGCCGCGTGGGGACAGGCGGAGGAGAACTCCGAGGTACAGGGACCCGTGGGCTTAGGTCACAGTCCGGACCACCTTGCAGAGCCACTGACCTTGAAGAGTGGGTGGCACTGAGGCAGCTGGCGCAGCGTGGCCATGGTGAAAACCTCAGGCAGCAGGTGCGCTTCCAGCAGGTGCGTTAGGGCCTCGTTGACGGAGAACTCAGCATTGCGCACCCACGTCTTGGCCAGCAGCCAGTCCCACTTGTTGTCACTGGGCAGGAAGATGGGGCTGGTGGGTCCTGGGGTCTGGCTGAGCTGCAGGAGAAGCCGGTGTAGTGAGAGGTGGCCAGGGGTGTCTGGCAACCACTCAGTCTAACCCCTTCCTTCCCTCTGCCCCCTGCCCACCTGGATGGCGAGGGGCAGCAAAGGCCCTCCCCCGGGGCGCTGGTATAGCAGCGTCATCGGGGCGGCAGAGAACTGAGGCTTCCCGTTGATGACATTGGTGCTGACGCCAGAGAGGATGCCGTGATCCACCAGGAACAAGGAACCCCTCTGCGGGAGAGAGAAGGGGAGCAGGGGCTGCCAGCTGTCTCTCTGAAGGATGCAGGGGTGGGTCAGGGAGAGGGTGGGGAGGGGAGAGGAGTGGGCCACGGAGAGGGTGCTCTGGGCACGCAGCCCTTAGGGACTCTGAGCCTCCAGCGGGGGGTGGCGCGCAGAGCCTGGCCTCGGGCCCCTCACCGCCAGCTCAGCCTGCAGACTGGTTCCGGGGCCCAGCACCGGGGCCACCATGTCATTGGTGACAGGGAAGTTCTCTGGGAGGGAGCGGCAGCGGCGGATCAGGACAGGGTTGAGGCCATTCAGGAACTGGGAGGCGAAGAAGGTGTCTTCTTGCCAATGCTCATAAACGTACTCTGTGGGGGTGGAGAAGTGGGGACTCGGTCAAGGTCACCTTCAGGGTGGAGCTGTCCCAGGGCCATCCAGGGTTCCCTTTGCCTCTTTATACCTTTTTCAGGGCAACCTCTCAGCCCTGTTGGCCAAGCAGTAAATCTCAGTTTCCGGCGCACCTGTCCCACCGTCTACCAGATATCCCAAGGTCAGGACTCAGCAGGCTGGGAACCACCGCGGGTTCCTGCTCGGCCCCAGCCTCTCCCATCATCTGGCATCTGGGGACCAGCACCTCCGTCCAGCTGGCTGCTGTGGCAGAGCCGGGGGGTCTCTCTCGTGCACTCTCTCCCTGCTCCTCTTCCACCAGGTCGCACTGACGCGCCCTCCTGGGTAGCTCTGCCCCCACCTTGTGCACTCCATCTCTGCTGTCACTGCCTTGCAGAGGCCACCATCTTCTTTTTTTTTAATTTTTAAAAAATGTTTTATTTAATTTTGGGACAGAGCATGAGAGGAAGAGAGGCAGAGAGACAGGGAGACACGGAATCCGAAGCGACAGCACAGAGCCTGACGCGGGGCTCGAACCCAAGAACATGAGATCATGACCTGAGCCAAAATCGGATGCCTAACTGACTGAGCCACCCAGGCGCCCCAGAGGCCACCATCTTCTGCTGACCATTTCTTTTCCATTTTTTATTTTTTTAAATGTTTTTATTTATTTCTAGGACAGAGAGAAAGAGAGAGACAGCGTGAGCAGGGGAGGGTCAGAGAGAGAGGGAGTCACAGACTGAAACAGGCTCCAGACTCTGAGCTGGCAGTCAGCACAGAGCCCGACGCGGGGCTCGAACCCACGAACTACGAGATCATGACCTAAGCGAAAGTCAGACGCTTAACTGTCTAAGCCACCTAAGCGCCCCTCTTTTTCATTTTTTAAATATTTATTTATTTGAGAGAGAGAGAGAGAGAGAGAGAGAGAATCCCAAGCAGGCTCTGAGCTGACAGCACAGAGCCTGACGTGGGGCTCGAACCCACAAACCATGAAATCAGGACCTGAGCCGAAGTTGGATGCTTAACCGACTGAGCCTCCCAGGCGCCCCCGTCAAACACTGTTCTTGGTACTGTTCACACCTACTCGACTTTGAGGCCTCCGCATAAAAGTCCCCTCCTTGGGAGAGTTTACAGGACACCCCCCGACGAGGGAGGTCCCCCTTTTATGTCCTCTCGCTGGAGTCAATGAATGGTTTCACAAGTGAAGCTCATTGTTGTGATTTTGAGCCTCGTGTCCGCTCGCCCGCTCAAATGAGAGCCCTGTGGGGATACAGAGAGTGTCCCCATCCCCTAACCCAGTGTCTGATGGAAATCTGTCCAACACTGTTGGATTAAGAGGCGTTAGAAGGTTAGGGATGCCCCCATCTACACCCTCTTGTGTATCTGTGGAGAAGGTACGGTCTAGCAAGGGACAGGGGACTACCCAGCGTCACACGGCGAGTCGGTGCTCGGTTTGCTGAGGCTCCGGCCCACTACGAGAGTGGATGTCTCAGGGAAGAAGTCAGGAGCTCCAGTCCACATTCCTTACCACCGGCCGGGGTCTTCCGGAAGTTGAACATCCTTTTCATCTCGTCCAGACTCTTCCAGAGCCCCTTGCGGTCTAGCAGCCCCTTGAATATCATCTCTGTAAACCTGTCAGGGGATGTCAAGGCTGGGTGGGGGGCGAGAAGCCTTGGGAGACCCCCCCACATCCCTGTCAGCTGGCTTTATCCTTTCTGGAATCTTGAAGCAGCCTCTAGGGTAGCCAAAGTAGTGCTTCCCTGCCCCCTCCCCGCCTGCTGGCTGAGATAGGCATTGTCCTGTGGGAACGGGTGGGGCAGAGGCTGTGCCCCGGGTAGGGCTGTGTGACCCATGTATCCTTGATGGTGGGGGAATACAGAAGGCAGGGGTCCTGGGGCATCTGAGGCCCAGCGTGGGGAGAAGGTGGGCATCCTTACCCAGAGCCAGCTTTCAGGTAGAAGTTGGCATTCTTGGCTATAGAGTATTTGATGTTGAGATCCAGGTCTCTCACGGTCTTCTCATTCAGGCAGTGAGGCCAGCCTGGGCGGTAAGTCTTCCAGCTGAAGGGGAGAGCAGGAAAGGGGTCAATAAGAAACCTCAGGGAACCCACTGACTAGGGCCAAGGGAGAGGTAGGCCCTCGGAGGCCCTGGTCACAGCTAGCACCCTTCTACGAGCAAGGGTGTTTCTCAGTCCTGCCCTTGCCTGTCACCCATAAGGCCTGAGGGGCAACCGCTGTGTTCCCACAGTGAGACTTCTCCTCTGGCCATGGCTGACTGGTGCAGGGCTGGACACTTAACCAGAGGTAGACCAAGCAAAGTCCTTCCCGAGGAAGTAGGGATTGGGGCTGTTAAAAAAGAGACATCACGGGCCGTGTGGGTGGCTCAGTCGGTTCAGCATCAGACTTCAGCTCTGGTCATGATCTCGTGGTTTGTGACTTTGAGCCCCGCATCGGGCTCTGTGCTGATGCCTCAGAGCCTGCAGCCTGCTTCGGGTTCTCTGTCTGCCTCTCTTTGCCCCTCCCCTGCTTGTGCTCAGTTTCTCTCTGTCTCTCAAAAATGAATAAACGTTAAAATTAAAATTAAAAAAAAAGACATCAGATTCAAAATGGAGTCAGTTCCAGGTCCTGTTGACACACCCCCTTCCTTCCTGTCGGCTTGCTAGCTTGGTTTTGTCCTCTGACTTAGGAGACAGAGGCATCTAAGGGGAGGCTGTCGTGAGGACAGAGTTCAGGAGGGCATCCCACGGAGAGGCACTGTGGCTTCCAGAGCTTCGGGGAGCCCAGAAACTTACTCTGCCCTGGCCACAGGCCTCTCGATCAAGCTAGCACAACACAGCCTGAAGACCCTTGGGTGAAATGCTAAGATCTCATCCCAGCAGAGTGGAGGACCTCCAGCCAGTCTTCCTCCTCTCAATCAATCATTGCCTTTGGGTTTGAACTTTCAACTTCGAAGAGCGAGTTGCCGTTAAAGCTCACAGCTACCAGGTGGTGACGGATGCCTGGTCTCTCAACTGTCCTGTACAGACCCCCTAGCGCCACCCGGAGATCTTGGTGAAATGCAGATTCTGATTGAGTAGGTCTGCAGGGGGTGGGGCCAAGAGCCTGGATCCCTAACAAGTTCCCAGATGATGCTGACAGTCACCTGAAGCCACGCTTTCAATACTGAGGGTCTAGACGGTTGCTGCACAAAGTGGCCGAGAGACAACAGTAACGGCACACATTTGTGCAGGGCTTGGCAGCTGGCTAGGTGCATTCTTCTTCTTTTTTTTTGGGGGGGGGAGAACTTTTTTAAGTTTATGTATTTTGAGAGAGAGAGGGAGCGAAAGAGAGAAAGCACATGAAGAAGACAGGCAGAGAGAGAGAGAGAGAATCCCAAGCAGGCTTTGCAAGGTCAGCGCAGAGCCCAATTTGGGGCTTGAACTCACGAAGAACGGCAAGCTCATGACCTGAGCCGAAATCAAGGGTCTGACATTCAACTGACTGAGCCACCCAGGTGTCCCGACTCGGTGTGTTCTTAACCATTTTCTCATTTATCCTTGCGAATAACGCACATCATGTTGCTATTCTTAACTTCTTTTGCAGAAAAAAATAGGGTCAAGAAGGTTAAGTGATGCCCAAGGGGTCACGGCTGCTAGGTCTCAGAAGCCCTGGGTCTGTGTTTTGGCAGAGGAGAAGAAAAGCCACTCCACGGACAGGGACCGCAGACTTGGGGCAGTGGTTTTGCTGGAGATAAAATTCGAAACATGGGCAGAATCACCAGAAACCAAGGGTTTCCCCGGAGATGTGATCAAAGCCTGCAGCCAGCACCGCGGACAGCAGCCCCCAGTGGGGGCTGAGTTGGCCGAACCACCACCTTTTGAAGACCTGCCCCTGAGCACAGTCCCTGGCCTTCTGCCTCAGGGAGCCTCACCCGCAGCCCCAGGTCCCCTGCAACCTGTACCTGCTGCCAGGTGGCTTCTGGGACCCCAGATCTCCCAGCTGAGCCCAGAGCAGAGAAAGGGATCTCACTTCACCAATCCCGGAAGCTGAGCTTCCTGGGCCATGGGATCGTGTATTTCTGGCTCTGCCCAGGTTTCAAGGAAGGAGGATGTAAGAAAAAGCCCCAGCGCGAGGGAGACTCCCACCAGGGTGAGGCATTTCCAGCTGGGCACCAGAGTCTTCTGGAAGGTTCTTGTAAAAGCAGTATTGCTGGGCCCCACCCTCAAAGCTGATTCAGTGTCTGAGGGTTCGAGAATCTCCACTTCTAACAAGCTCCCACAGGCTGCTGATGTCGTCATCGGAGGAGAGTCCTGGTAGGGACTTCAGCCAGTAGCATCACCAGGTTGCCCCGCCGCCTCCGCCCCACTCCCACCTGGGGTAGCCCCTTCCTCACCTGTAGGAGTCCTGCTTGGCCTGGAGCTCTTCCTTGCGTTGCTGTTGGAGCAGGGAGTGATCGTCTCCCCAGGAGACCCTGGCTGTGAGGGCACAGGAATGGGTGAGGAGGGCAGAGACCCACCCCAACCTCTCTGCCCTCCAATCAGCCACCCTCGATCAGGTCACCGGCTCCCACACTGCACTGCACACCCCTCACCTCCCCTGTGGTCACCTCTGTCAGCTCCCTTTGCCTTTCCCTACGGCACTCTCATTCTCACTCCCCCACCCCTCCCCTATCCCCGCCCGCCACACCCTTCCCAGCGCAGGCTCACCCGCCCCCTCGCGCAGCGCCAGCCTCGAGGAGCCCTCCATCCACTGGTAGCAGGGGAAGCGGAGAGGGGTGCCCCGGGGCGGCGAGAGCTGGATCCAGTTGCAGAACCAGGCGTCTCGGGCCAGCGGCCCCACCGCCCTGGGCAGCAGGGGGTCCTTGTGCAATTGCAGCAGCAGCACCTGGCCCACGTCCTGGGGGGACTCCACCTGGAAGTCCTCCACCTGGAGGGGAGACACTTAGTAAGTGGCAGGCCGGTCCCCGCTCCCTGCTCCGCCGTCGCCCCTGCGCCGCCAGGCACTCACAGCGCCCTTGCTGAACTCCTTGCCGAAGTGGTCCAGGGGCAGTGGGGGGGTCTCCCCCCGGGTCCCCACGATGCTGACGGCTATTCTGTTCCACGTGCCAGCCCCGATGGCCTCCCCCGTGGACACTGTCACCCTGTACTCAGCCATGGTGCCGACCCAAGTCTGGTTGTCTCCTGCGGCCGGTGAGACCTTAAATCCTGGCGGCTCCTCCAGGGACACGCCCCGCCCCACCCCCCCAGGCCAAGGTCATGTCCGCCAAGCCTCTGTCCATCGATAGCACCCATTACAAGTGCCCACAGAGCCACCCCAAATGCATGACCCTGCTCTGGGCAGAAAGGGTCCTGGCTGGGAGGCTGGAGGGGAGAGGTAAAGGGGGGCTGCGGAGGGGCGCGGGGAAGGGGGGCACTCCGTAGTGCTGGGTGAGAAAGGACTGGGTGTCCTGAGGTTTGGGTAACTGGACAGAGCCAGAGAGAGTCGGTATCCACTGAGGGTCAGAGATACATTTGCGCCCCTTTTTGTTGCTTTGCCTTCTTAGCCCTGACCTGAGGCTCTGTGGGCCCACCCAGCCCCCCACTTTCTTGGACTCCTGTCATTATTTTATTGCATTCATTTAAGAACCAGCCCTGTGCCCGGTACTACTACCTCAGGTGATGTGAATACTGCCTGGACAAGACTCAGTCTTTGCCCTCTTGGAGGTTAAAAAAAATCTAATATGAGAGGAGTGCCCGGGTGACTTAGTCTGTTAAGTGTCCAATGTTCTCCTCAGGTCATGATCTCACTGTTTGTGGGTTCCAGCCCCACCTCGGGCTCTGTGCTGACGGCTCGGAGCCTGGAGCCTGCTTCCGATTCTGTGTCTCCCTCTCTCCCTGCCCCTCCCTACCTCATACTCTCAGGCTCTCTCTCGCTCTCTCTCTCAAAAATAAATAAACATTAAAAAATCATTTAAAAATCACGTGTAGGAGAAAATAAAAGGAAATGAGGCAGGCAGGAATGCAGTGAAGGAGACAGGGAGATGGGGGTGGGGGGGTATGGATTTGGGCTCAGGGATGGATAACAGATTTGGGAGTTCCAGGCTGCAGTGCTGGCTGAGATGCCCATTAGACATCCAAGTGGGGCACAGTGGAGCATAGAGCTCAGGGCTGGACTCTGTACCTGAGCATCGGTCAGCACACAGGTGCACCTGCTCAGCAGGCAGGGGCTGTAACTGGAGAAGAGGCAACCAAGAGAACAAGCCATACCTGTTAGTTCTCTGACATCTGGAAGGTCATGCAGCAGAGGCTGACCCAGGGTTGATCAGTCACCGAGGTACACAGAGGACCCAGAGTGGGCATGTCATGAAAGTCAAGACATTGGCCAAAGCTAAGAGCTGCATTGGAGGAAGACAGAAATGGTTAATTACCGGGTCTGTCAAGGACACTTGTGAGTCTGTGTTACCAGCTGATGAGTGCGATTAAGGCCATCAGCCCAGCTCTAGGTGACCAAAGCCTGGCGGGCACGTGACCGAATCCCACCATTGTGTCTGAGACCCTTGCCAAGAGCTGTTCTGGTGGCCGAATTTGGGCAGGAGCCATTGAAGTGTGGGGTTGAAGTGTGACTGGGCATAGAATTCCACGTGCCTTTACGCCACCCTCCTGAAACCTCACTAAAATGCCCCGGTTAAGGCATAATAAACAGACGAGGTCAAGAACACGAATATGGAGTTTGAGAATTCCCGCCTCAAAATCCCTTAAGGTCACCTGGGAGACGGGTGCTCTGAGATGGCATGTAGATGACGCTGAAAACAGGTTGATGGGACAGACATTTGTATTAGACACAACTGGGACCCTTCCTACTCCCCCCAGATACCCTCCTCCACCTCACACAGCCAGTGGGAGGCCTTCCCCAACCTAACAGACAATGGGAGGTTTCTTTTCAGGAGAGATGGATCTAGGGGAAATCTGGACTTGGGGTGACACCGGCTAGAGCTGAGGGTGGGACACGAAACTTAAAATTGGAGAGTGGGGTGAAAGTTTCCACACTGAGCAGTGGGGGCCCCAGCCCCTCTCCTTGGCTGGAGCCAAGCATGTTAGCAGGTTAATATACTGGACCCCCAAACCCTACCCTCCAGTCAAGACTGGAGAACTTCTCTCTAGAAGAACCGGCCAGCTCAAGCGTCAACAGGTCCTTCAATGGAACAGCTCTGCTAAACAAAGCCTACCAGTTGACCAGCCCTAGTCAGGCGGTTTCTGGTTGACTTTTGTTGAGTCACTGTTACGGATGAATGGGTGCCCAAGGGTCACCAGACCTTCAAGGAAGTCTTTTATCTAAAAGACAAGGACCAGGGACAGCTGGGTGGCTCAGTCGGTTGAGCATCCAACTCTTGATTTCGGTTCAGGTCATGATCTCACGGTTTGTGGGTTCGAGCCTGGTATGGGGCTCTGCACTGACAGTGGGGAACCTGCTCGGGACTCTCTCTCTCTCTCTCTCTGCTCCTCCCCCACTATCACTCTCTCTCTCTCTCTCTCGTTCTCAAAAATAAATAAATAAATAAATAAAAACATTTTTTAAAAAGCATATAAAGGGCATTAGGGAATCTACTCTTGAAATCACTGTTGCACTATAGGCTAACTTGGATGTAAATTTTAAAAAATTAATAATAAAAAAAAGCATATAAAAGACAAGGACCAAAATACTCAAGATTGAAGGAACAGACAATGCAGGGAGCAGAAGAAAGTTTCCAATTCAAACTTCTAATTTACATCCTCAGAGAGAGGAGAGCATACGGCTCTAGGAAAGATTGTTTCCGGGCAAAATATTTGGATTTTATAAACCATCCATTCTTTTTTTTCCCTTTTTAAAAAAATTGTGGTAAAATACAGATAACATAAAATTTACTATTTTGACCATTTTCAAGTGTGCGGTTCTGACAACACATTCATAGTAGATATGATCAGATACATTGACTTTGGCAAGCAAGCATCATCACCCTCTGTCTCCAGAACTTTTTCGTCATTCCAAACTGAAACTGTATTTATTAAAACAATAACAATGACCACAACAGGGGCACCTGGGTGGCTCAGTCAGATGACCACCTGACTTGGGCTTGGGTCACGATCTAAGATTGTGAGTTCGAGCCCTGCATCGGGCTCTGTGCTAATGGCTCAGAGCCTGGAGCCTGCTTCTACCTGTCTCTCTCTCTCTCTCTGTCCCTCTCTCACTCATGCTCTGTCTCTCTCAAAAAAGTTTTTTGAAAAAATTAAATAAAAAAACAAAACAAACACTACCATTCTCCCCACCGCCAACCTCTGGTCCCCTCCATTCTCGGAAAGAGTCTGAATTTGACGACTCTAGGTGCCTCGTATGAGTGGAATCCTACAATATTTGTCTTTTTGGGTCTTGCTTATTTCATTTAGCATCATGTTTCCAAGGCTCATAGCAAATGTCAGAATGTCTTTCCTTTTTAAGGTTGAGTAACTTAAGGCTGTGTGTATACACCACAGTTTTGCTTACCCACTCATCCATCAATGGACATTTGGTTTCTTCCATTTGTTTAAGAAACTTCTATGGCCAATGTGGGGCCCAAACTCACAACCCCAAGATCAAGAGTCACACGTTCCACTGACTGAGCCTGCCAGGTGCCCCTGTTTCCATTTTTTGGGGGGCTATTGTGAATAATGCTGTTGTAATGACTAGTTACAAATATGTTTGAATCCTGTTCAATTCTTTTGAGTATATGCCTAGAAGTAGAGTTACTGGATTACGTGGTAACTCCACGTTGAATTTTTTCGGGGGGGGGGCGGGACTCCCATACTGTTTTCCACAGCAATTCGCATTCCCGCCGGCAATGCACGAGGGTTCCAATATGTCCAAATCCTCACCCACACCTTTTTCCTATACGTGATAACCGCCATTTTAATGGCTGTGATGTGGGATCTCATTGTGGTTCTGACCTGGATTTCCCTGGTGACTGCTGGCATCAAACATTGTTTCACGTGCTTAACGGCCATTTGTCTATTTTCCTGTCAACCAATGTTTCTACATGTTCTTCGTCCAAACCATCTGTTCATGAATTATGATTCATTGTCCAGTCACATTTTCCATATATCGCGCAAGTCACATGCAAGGGCAACACATTTCTAAATATATTAAGTATTTTTTTTATTTGTAGGTCACTACTGTGATATTAAGCAATATTGCATGTACACAGGTCCCCGGGTGCAGTGAGGCTAAGAAAAATCTGTAATGTTTACTGTTTTCCTGCCTTCAAATATATCCTTGGGTTCTCTGTTTTGACCTTTTCCTCTTCCTTTTCCCTTTTAGAAATTGAAATAAATCTATTTTAAAGGAAACTTGGTGTCAATACTGTCAGAAAATTTCAGTTCCCCTAAAGGAGTGTGAAAGACAGGGGCGCAATAAAAACCAGGTTACTTAACTCTAGACGGATTCTGTTGTCAGTGGCTTCTTCCTTGTTCCAAGGGAGGGATCACCCAGTGCTATGAGGCTATTAAAGCAACAACAAATGCCAGATTGGCACTTGCTCTCTGCTGTAAGGCGAACAGACTTGTGATTCAAGGTCAGCTACACCTGTGACCCCTTCACCTCCCAGGCTATGGAGACCCCTTGCATCGGAGGGTTTTGTAAAAATGCCACTTCCTCCGACCTACTTCATGCCGGCGGGGGTGGGGGGCAGCCTCCAGCGACCCCACTTGGGGGAATGTCCATTTTAAATCAGCACGGAGGTGGGCTCTTCCTCAGAACCACCGTCCTGGGGGATTCACACACCTGTCTTTGTTCTGATCTGCCGCCCAGGATGATCTGAGCCGCAAGGGCTTCTGGGACCTGTCAGAGACACAGAGAAAGAAATCAGAGCACTGCCTGGGGAAGGAACTCACTCGATGCTTAAAGATGTCTTTCAGTCCATGTACACCTTGCTTTCAATCCCTGAATGACAAGGCTCCTGCCTATCTTTCTTCATCTTCCCCCCTCCCTCGTCCACTCCCTTCTTTCCTTCTTTCCTGCTTTCTCTTTTTCTTGCTTTTAAATTTTTTCTTTTTTTAAAGCTGATTTATTTTGAGAGAGAGAGAGAGCACGGGGAGAGGCAGAGAGTGAGAGAGGAAAGAGAATCACAAGCAGATTCAGTGCTGTCAGCATGGAGCCTGACGTGGGGCTCGAACTCATGAACCACGAAATCGTGACCTGAGCTGAAATCAAAAGTCGGAGGCTCTACTGACTGAGCCACCTGGGTGTCCCCTTGCTTTCAAACTCTAAAAGTTTGGTCCAGGCTATAGATGTACACGATTTAAAGAGACAAATAGTTCTGGAAGTTTCTCACCAACAACAGCTGTCCCTTTCATCCCTGCTGTTTTTCCCTTCATCAAAGATCATAACCTTCCACTCTTCTAGTTGATAATATTGCTATCTACCGCACATCTCAAACCATCAGGCACATGTTGCTTATTTATTGGTTTTTCAGTTTTAATTCTGTTTTTTTTTTCATGTTTATTTATTTTTAAGAGAGAGAGAGAGTGGGCAGGGAAGGGGCAGACAGAGAGGGAGACACAGGGAGAAGCAGGCTCCAGGCTCTGAGTTGTCAGCACAGAGCCCGACGTGGGGCTTGAACCCATGAGCTATGAGATCATGACCTGAGCCAAAGTCTGACGCTCAACCGACGGAGCCCCCTAGGTGCCCCTCTTTGCTATTTTCCATCATGCTTTGCCTTTGGTTGATTTCTTCAACTTTCTCTTCCAATCTGTGGAGTTTTTAGAACTTCTCCTATCACCCTTTTAATTTCAAGAGCCATTTTCTTGTTCTGCATATGTAATTTTTTAATAGTGTCGTGTTCAGGTTTCAAGGTCATGGTATTTTATCTCCCTGTGGTTCGTTTCTGGTATTTGTGCCATAAGCTTCCGTCTACCTAGGCTGTCTGTTGCATAACGAACCACCCTGAATAAACAGGAAGAATTGTTTATTTTCTCATGACTTTGCAACTTGGGCAAGGTTCCAGGCAGCAGCAGCTGGATTCTGTCTCCAGCTAAGTTCACTTGGGAGACAGACTGAAGGTAGGGCTTCCAAAGTCGCTCTGCTCACATGTCAATGGCTGGGGGTTGGCTGAGTCTTTCTCTTGCGCACATGGTCCCTCATCATAATTCCTGGGGCCTCTGAAAACTGGGGACAGAAGCTAGTTCAGGGTAGGAAGGTGGCCAGCCCCAGGGCTGCATCATGCCAAGTGTGATAATTTTATTCTCTGCCTCCTCTGCCTTAGGGGTGTTAATATGGCTGCTCCAGAGAGGGCTGAGCCTTGCTGTCTCTCCCATCTCTTCTCTCTGCCTCCCGTAGCTCTGGCTTCCGGCTCCATGGAGTGCAGCTATCATGGGATCAGTTGCCAACCTCACACCCTCACACCCCGCCGCCCAGCAGATAGGAGGGAGTTCCTTCAGGTAACACCGGGGAAGAGGGAGGGCTGACGCTTCCCTCTTCCAAAGCTCCACCAAATGTCTTCTTACCTCCTCCTCTTTCATTGCTCTGAATAGGTAACACTAGGATCCCTGAACCGACCAGTGTGGCCAGGAGGATGGGACCCACCGGGGAAGGTAAATCAACCAAGGTGTATCTCAAGGTGAGCCCCACCCAACCGCACTCAGATTACACTGAATATGACGATGGATGGTTTCATAGAGAGACGGGAAGCGATGCTCCCAGGAGGAGGAAGAGACAACGATCAGGCAGCAAAGCAGCCTCGCAAGAGAGCAGACATGCCTTCCACGGTAGCAGACAGGGGGTTAGTTGGGTGCAGGGGCAGGAGGGTCTGTTGTCTGGGTAGAGGATGATGTGGAACCCCCCTTTCTGGTGGCTTCACGTTGCCACAGAGACGCGGGCAAAGCCTTCAGCTGGAAGGGATCTAGGAACTTCTGTGCGTTGGGTCCTGCGTGGGGCCGGGGCGGAAGCGTGAATAGGACACAGGCTGGTTCCCCAGTAGCTCCTGGTTTGGTGGGAAACCTGAAGGGCCCAAGGGAACATAAAGGTGGTGTGTGGATGGCAGCACCCATGGCCCTTATTCCGGCAACGGCATCCTTGTTTCCCTGTAGAGAATCGCCCCTTCCCCATCCTCCGTCCGTATGGATACAGTGGAGCTGACTTCACCCTCTGACTCCAGGGGCAGGCAAAGGATTTTGAGAGGGCCCACCTGAGCATGAAGACAATGGACAATGGAGGAAAGCATACCTGAGGGTTATACAGAGACACCTCTTGGGAGCACCTGGATACAGCCATGCCTGGAATACTCCTGAACTTTTGAACTCTTTCAGTCAGAAGAATCCTGATCAGTGCAGAGGCCTGTCTCAGACATGAGAATGGGGGCGTGTCAGGGAAAGGTTCCTTCAGGTAAGGATGCTCCCACTGCATTTTGTAGGATAAGCAAGACTTGGATGGAGGTGAGAAAAGCGCTCTGTCCCACCTGCCACCACGCTTGTGTATTTGATTCCTACATTGAGAGCACCAGATGCCTCTGTCTCTTCTGTCCCGTTCAACCTCACATTGGCCACTTCCTGTCGCTCATCCCACCATGTGGGTCTCTTAAACAGTCATGTTTGTCATGTATCCATTCAACGAGTATATATGAGTCTAGCCAGGTGAGGCACTAAGCTGGGTGTTGTATGGAAGGGGAAGAATGTGTGACAGGTTAGAGAACAAACATGGTGGGTATTCAGCCCCTTCCCATTTCATGCCCATGGCAGACCTTGCCAATCAATCTTCTTGAGCCCAGAAGTAGCCCGAGAATCTTTGTCACACAAGAGGCACAACCAACCGATTGGAGTCGGCATGTAAGATGAGACCTAGTGTTGTCTCAAGGTATGGTGTGGTCCAGGGCAACATGGATTCAGAACAGAAGTAAGATGGGACTGAACCACTTTGGAGACCAGGGAGAACGTAAGTAACAGACACCCACGAGAGACAACTTGAGGAAAAAAGGAGAATTTATTATGAGGTCAAAAGGCTAGAGAAACAACTGAGTCTCAGGAATGGCCTAGAGGCAGAGACCAGAGCACTGTAGGAACTCAGGGAATTCTCTCCCCGACTCTCTTCTTTGCAAGTCTGCTCTGTCTCCTTCCTCCCTTCTTCCTTGACCAGTTCCTTCTGTTTCCCAGTCCTCACAGTTCATGTTTATATGTTCTCTAACTAAACAGTGAATGGGTTTAGAATGTCTTGGTTCAGATGAAAGGTTCTCCAGGAAAGGAGTCTCATTGACTGAGTTTGGGACAGGGATCCATCCTTGGTCCAATTTCCCCTGTTCACCAGGCAGGCATCAGACAAGATGCTTGGTTGGCTGTGTTTGGCCATTTTGGTGGTGCTGATGATCTGTGTGGGTAGTACAGATTTTTCAGAAGTATGAAAAATTCTTTTCTGAGCAATAGAAGACCCTAAACAATAAATACCCCCTGTACAATTCAAGGAGGTCTTCTAGTAGGAGGTGAGTTTTAAATTGGTCATGAAAAATTGGTACAATTTTAATAGGCAGAGCTGAGTGAACAGGATAGTCTAACCTCAAACTAGCTTGATAAAATATGGAAATATATCAGTTTATGTAACTGGAAAATTCAAAGTAGCCAGCTTCAGGTCTGGATGAATCCAAGTGCCCAAAACATGTGTCAGGAATTGTTCCCCCACTATGTTCCATTTCTACTTTCTTCTGTGTTGAACTGTATTGACTCATGCTCAGGTAGACTCTTCCCAAGGGGTGGTAGAGATGGTTAGCAGTAGCTGTAGGCTTCCATCCGTCCACCTTAGCAAATCTGCTCAAAGACCAGTCTCCCTCTTGCTACTTCCAACAAAGGTCATGGGGCTGACCCTCATTGAAAGGGACTTGGTCACAGACCCTGAGGTGGGACCGGAATTCGCTCCACACAAACTACACAGGTTGAGGGTGGAGATGGGTAGATCCCCAAAGAAAAATCCCCAAAAGTAGGCAAATAACAACATCTGTCTACTCTGCCTTTTCTGGGCAGAGTCCCCTCTCAGAAAAGGACTCTTTTTTGAGTCAGATGCTGAGCTGAGGTCTTTCAGTGCTCTCAGCAAAGGCTTAGAGGTGTTCCTAAACAGAGAGGCGTGCTGTGGTTATCCATTACTGCACAAATACACCAAAAACTTACTGAGTTACAACAACCGTTTGATACCCCATGAATCTGCAAGATGGGAATGTGGGCATGGCTCTGCTGGGTGACTCTTCCATTTTATATGGTACTGACATCGATGCTGAGTCATAATCAGGGCAGATGGGCTGGAATACAGGCTAAAGACAACTTTGTTCACGCGTATAACCCACCCAGGTTAGGGTGACCTACTGTTGCTACTGTCGTGACTACACCCAGGATGGGGCTATTCTTCCCAGCAAACCCTTGCGCGAGGCACCTCTCCTACTCCCACTGGAGGAAGAGGCAGGCTCACTGCTCTAAAGGTACTCCCATTTCCTCAGGGACTCAAGCCCCAACGAAGGTCATGAACTCATGATCCTGAGATCAAGACCTGATCTGAGATCAAGCATCGGACCCCTAACTGACTGAGCCACCCAGGCACCTCTGTGTGCCTCTTTATTAACAGCAAAGAGTTTAGGACCTTGGGAAACTTAGAATCCTGACTATCATTTAATAACAGGGCAGGCGTAGGCAGGTCATGGCCGCCTTCCTGAGCCTTAACATTGGCGTTTGTGAAATGGAGTTATAATAGTATCTGATTCATAAGGTTGTTGAGGATATTGTATAAACTTTCATGAGAAACGCGCTTAGTACAGTTGCCGACTTACAGGAAGGACTCAGAAAATCAGTGCTCCCTTCTTCTTCCCCTACATGCTCGGAAGATGACCTCACCCCTTCTTCACCCAGAAAACAAAAACCTCCAAGGAGATTCCTGGATTCCTACCTACTTCTCCAATGTATCTGCTCCTGTCTTACTCCAATTGTCTTACAAGGCGGCTCCCCTCCTCCCCTCCAAGGGAATCCCTCCTCCCGTGCCTGGATCTACCCTGCCAGACACAGGAACCTGGCTCTCTCGTCACTTCCACCAGCATCTCCCTCTCCACTCGCTCCTGCCCATCACCTGTTGATGGGCAAAAATGTCTCCCTTCTTTCAAAAGAGAAACGTAATATGTCTACTGGCCCTGTGTCCTTTCTAGTCGTCGAAGAGAGGTATTGTACATCACAAGGTGTCTCCTCTGGCCTTTTTCCAGAAGTCACTGACTCCTGGAAGGACCAGTTTCCGAGACTGGCTCTGGTCTTGAGACGTTTCATGATCGTCCAGTCCAACCACCTCACTGAATGTGCCCATTGCTTGGGCACCAGGGCCTGGGAAGCCACTAAGACGGAGGCCGGGTTGGGGGAGGGGTGCCTATTCTCCAAAGGCCAGGAAGGCCTCCATGACTTGTGGGCATGTTGAGGGTGAAGTGCTCAGGACTGGGTCCCTCCTCTTGCCCTCTCAGGGCCTGCTGAAATTGGTCTGGAGCCTTTTGTCACAGACCTTAAGGCCAAAGCACAATCACTGCCTCAGGCCTTGTTTCAACTGGGGCCACGAGCTATTAGGGCAAAGAGTGTGGCAAGAGTTCTGGGTGCCCTTCCGTGCTGGGATTATGGCTAAGCCCTGGAGGAGATGACTTCAGTGACCGAGGCAGAAGACTTACCAGCAACACAGAAGAGAACCCACGTGACCCCAGCTCAGACCATCTGTTTATAGTAGTAAGGAAGTTCTGAAAGAGGCACGTGGCTTGGGCGTGAGTGGTCAGGACTGAGCGAGAGGGCTGGGGGGCTGAAGTGCTAGTGGACTGGCCGGTGATAACAGAGAGTGAAGGGGAGGCAATGCCATAAGGTAGGTGGTTATGAACATGTATTTGCATGGTGTGATGATGAGGTGGAGTCGGAGGAGAAGCCCCTTGCAGTCAGGAACACTTTTGTCAAATGGACCGACATCTTGTCACAGTGAAAAATATCATGAGAGGGACGCCTGGGTGGCTCAGCTGGTTAAGTGTCGGACTTCAGCTTGGGTTATGATCTCCCGGTTCGTGAGTTCGAACCCCACATCAGGCTCTTTGCTGTCAGCAGGGCCTGCTTCTTATCCTCTGCCCACCCCCACCTCTGCCCCTCCGACGCTTGTGTGCGTAATGCTCTCTCTCTCAAAAATAAACATTAAAGGAGGGGGTGCCTGGGTGGCTCAGTCGGTTAAGCGTCGGACTTCAGCTCGGGTCATGATCTTACACTTTGTGGGTTTGAGCCCCACGTCGGGCTCTGTGCTGACAGCTCTGAGCCTGGAGCCTGTTTTGGATTCTGTGTCTCCCCCTTCTCTGCCCCTCCCCGGCTCGTACTCTGTTTCTCTCTCAAAAATAAACATTAAAAAATTTTTTTAAAAAATAAACACTAAAGGAAAAAAAGAAAAAATCATGAGAACTTTGTGGTATATGACAGAAGTTTATTTTGTTTATCATTAAAAAATGGTGTTTGGCAATAACCTATGTGGCTGATTGTATAATCCATTCATGAAGGACATATTCTGCCACACAGTAGGACGTTGAGTTAACTTTGACTGTGACCATGGAATTCAAACTTGTGTCCACAGCTGAAGCCGTGAAGTACAAAGTGATCCACATTCTTCTATTTTTTTTAAGTTTCTTTATTTATTTTGAGAGAAAGAGAGAGAGAGAGCGGGGGCAGGGGGCAGAATGAGAGAGAGGGAGACAGAGAATCCCAAGCAGGCTCCACACTACCAATGCAGAGCCCGATGTGGGGTTCGAACCCACGATCTATAATAAGATCATGACTGAACCGAAACCAAGAGTCGGATGA